CTTTCACCTTTTATAACAATTGTTGGGTCTGGCGTTATCCCCATTATGTCTTTAAAATTTACACAGCTTAAGATTGGTCTACTATTGTAAAATATGTCAAAGTATTGTTCATAGCTTTATTTTATTTTTATTTTTATGGTTATGTTTTTTGTTAACAATATCCAGGACCGGCTCAAAATTTAATTAAACTTGGAAGGCCTATAACTCTCTTATTTTTGAGTTACTTAAAATATTTATTTGTTTATCTGATTTCTACACGCTGTTAAAAGGAACGCGTCAACTTAAAACTCACCCTGTATAAACTAACAAAAAGTAGAAAAATCAAAAAACAAAATTTACATAAATCTTACAGACTTAATTTAAAACCAATTAAAGCCGTGTTCCTCTCAAATTTTAGGCATGTTCAAAAATATCAATGCCATAGGAAACCTATAATACATTCTTTCACCTTTTATAACAATTGTTGGGTCTGGCGTTATCCCCATTATGTCTTTAAAATTTACACAGCTTAAGATTGGTCTACTATTGTAAAATATGTCAAAGTATTGTTCATAGCTTTTATGTATACTACTTTGTATTCACGTTGCTCTTCATATAGTTCGATAGTAGTGGCGGCTTTTTCACAATGTCATTTTTGGCAAGAAGAGAATGATATTTTCTGAGGATAATGAAAAAGAACTCAGTGGCGGCTGGTGGATTTTGGGTATACCAATATTTCAGTTATTAGACATGGGACCCACACCAAATTTATAATAGTTTATAATGACATTAAATAGACAAGTTCGGCGCAAACAGAATTTAAATTGAAGTTTGCGAAAAAAGTTAGTTTTTCCTGTCGCCTCACCCGCCTCCAGGCCCCCCTATTTAATATAATTCAAATTAAAGTGGTGCAATTTATTATCTACTATAGTAATTATATATTTATATATATTAAATTTAAAATTTTATTTAAAAAATCCAAATATTACAGGTTTTATACCATTTTAAATATTTTTTTATTTTAATAAAATAAATAATAAAAATTTAAAATCGAATAAAATATTTTTAAAATAAATTATATTTTTTATTTTAATAAAATAAATAATAAAAATTTAAAATCGAATAAAATCTGTAATATTTGGATTTTTTAAATAAAACTTTAAATTTGTCGATAAATTATGGCAGATAATAAATTGCACCACTTTAATTTGAATTATCTCAAATAGGGGGGCTTGGAGGCGGCTGAGGCGACAGGAAAAACTAACTTTTTTTCGCAAACTTCAATTTAAATTCTGTTTGCGCCAAACTTGTTTATTTAATGTCATTATAAACTATTATAAATTTGATGTGGGTCCCATGTCTAATAACTGAGATATTGGTATACATAAAATCCACCAGCCGCCACTGAAAGAACTTCCTGAATATTTGAAAATCACACAATAATTATTGTAGTTAAGAGCAATTTGTATATCGGACATTTTGGTCAATTGTTATGTAAAACTGACTGCTAAATCTCTGGATAAATCAGAAAATGTCACCAAACGTTATAAAAGTAGAACAGTTTTTGAGATATAGTACATTTTCCAAAAACTGCTCTACTTTCATAACTTTTGGCGGTAATTTCGGATTTAGATAATAATTTTACATACAAATTGACTGTTAAATGTTCAGGATACAAATTCCCGTGGACTACAGTTAGTACTGGCTGCTTTTTCACTATAACTAGTAATTTTTGACTATTTCATTTTAAGAGAGTTTATAGCAGCATTGGCATCTTCTTCATAATTTTTATATGAAGGGGTAAGAAGCATGAAAATAAGTTAAGTGTAGAATTGGGTAGCTTAGAGTCCAGTTTTTTTTTCCTACGTGAAAATTGTACCAGTTCTGCATGTTGATTAATGCAAACATTTAAACAAGCGAAACAAGTATCCAGGTCTAGTTTTTCCAAGTTAGGTAGGATGACTACAACATTGAGGTTATGTCGAAGCATGCAGTGTCTGTACTACAGACACTGCATGCTTCGACAGACTCTGTAGGATACTTGATCATGATATTTTTTTTGTTTAAGTAAGGGGCCGTCCATAAATAATGTCACAAGTTTTTTAAATATTTTTGACCCCCCCTCCCCCACTTGTCACAAAGTGTCACAAATTATGGGACCCCCCCCCCCCTCCTCATTAGCGTCACGTCACACTGATTTAATTTTTATGTAAGGTATACTAAAATAAATCTCAATATCTTATTAATATGCTATACCTACAATTAATAATTTTGAAAATACTAAAGTACTAACACAAACTACCGAAACTAGAAAAAACGTTCTTGCTACCAAAATGAACAAATCCAACTGTGGTAAATTACGGTAATTATCTGAATGCGGGCTTGTGTGATGTTGCCAAATCTACATAAACATTTAGTTTTCAAAAAAAATAAAGTAATAGGTATAGGTATAATTAATTAATTAATTAATTAATTAATTAATTAATTAACAAGTAAATACGAAATAAAAGTAAATGATCATGTATCCCAGGTGATTAACTACACCAAGCCAATAAGTTATTAATTATAATATAATAGTATTAAACCATAACGAAAACATTTTTTTTAATCATAAGACCCCCCTAATTTAAACCCTACAATTTGCCTTAAATAAGGATTTCAAGAAAGCAAAATGAAATTAAACATTACTGACACAATATTAATATTATTATTCTCTGGGAAAAGAATTTGATTAATACATTGTTCCAATAAACTTGTTATGCATTTTTATAGCATTATAAATTTACAATTACAATATGTAATTGTTTTATGCACGTTTGTGAAAGGATTGAAATTGAAAGTGTTTACCCAGTATACAGGTAAGGATTAGAAAAAAAGCTGTTTATTGACTTCATTTTCTTATTGAAAAGGCACATACCTACCTACTACTAAAACAGTTACTTACATTTAGAATAAATTATTGTAGGTCTAGATAGATATTTCAACATTCAAATAAATTTTCAAAGAAAAGGTAGGTACTTACATAAGTCTCATAAAATTCGAAATACAGCAGTTGTTTTGTACACACAGAAATTATGAAAATAAATTACCTATCAAGGTCGTTATTTCCTCAAAGCATAAAATCTGTATATTGTTGTTCTATTTCAGAAACAATGTATTAATGTATAAAGATAATTTAATAAAATTCGACCCTACCTAATTAATGTGTTGTGCATTTTCACAATAAAACAAAAGAACAACTTTATTATAATTTATAAAGTTTATAAAACCAGTGGTTCCAAAGAACTTAAAACAAAAATTTACCTACCTACCTTATTTAAATATTGTACACTTTATAACAAACCATATAATTATTTATAAAATTATTTGTTTATAAATCAAACCCTCTTTCACTAATACGGCAAACTACAAAGTTTTTTGTAAGATTTCTACGCCATTTTTTTTAACTGCAAATAACTGTACAGCTATTCAGAAGCTTTAACCACTCTCACATAGATGGCGCTCGTCATAAACTTTTACCATTGATTATTTTAACGCGTTACTCACACAGTATGCGAGCTGTTCAAACTCTAGTTTCATGTAGTTACAATAAGATGGCGTGAAGTGTCACAATGTTAAACAAATGATGTGCAGTGTGTAATAATAATGATTATTTTTTTTGACAGTTCTCTGTATTGTTGGGACATTGTTGAGGCATTGTTGTTGAGGGAACCTACAGCGAATTACAGCGATAATTTTTTGAAAATTTTCTCTGGTAGTTGCTATATATAAAAAAGTCAAATTAACCACACGTCAAACTGACAGGTTGAATTCAATTGTGAAAATTGGAGATTTTGCATGAAAATGAGTCGATTTGGAGTTTGTTCTCTGTCCACCATCGATAAAAAAGTCAAAGGAAATGTTCCCATTAATACGGAGAAGTCAAAAGAAACAGTTTGGAACCAATTTACTACTTTTTGTACTGAGAGGGAATACACATTGAGTGCTGAAACGAGTGAAGCGCAATTGGCAAACATTATGAAAGATTACGCTTACAATATGAAGAAAATGGATGGAGAAGACTATAAGGAAGGTACAATAAAAACAATGTGGAATCAGACTGCCAAATTACTTCAAGAAAAGTATTTGAACGATTTCGACATCAAAATCAACCCATTTTCGGATGCTGCATTCAAGACCGCTCGAGGAGCTCGTGATGCCAAGCGTAAGGCTTTACAATCTATTCCGGAAAAACGGAGGGCAAGTGCAGCAGCGTTGGAGGAAAAAGATTGGGATGCAATGACCACTGTTTGGGACGAGGAAACTCCTGATGGCCTCCAGAAAAAATTATTCATGATAATATCAGTGGAATTGGCTTGGAGAGGTGGTGAGGGCAGCATACAGATACAGAGAACTGTCAAAAAAAATAATCCCCCGAATACCACACGAGCTTCAAAATTATCTGGCATTTCCCTCAAGGTTCCCTGCAAACAAATAAAGTCGTCAAGTTTTTCAGGAAAAATCACTCGCGCTTCGCGCTCGTGATTTTTTAACCTGAAAAACTTGACTCCTTCATTTGTTTGCAACGAACCTATCGGGAAATACCCGATAATTTTGAAGCTCTTGTGGTATTATATATGATAATACTTTATTAAAAAATGTATTAATATACGTCAGTGTTTTTCACTATTTTTATAGATTTTTGATAATAATGATAATACTTTTATTTATTGATGTTAAAACACAAAAAGTATATGAATATAATTAATTTATACGTCACAATGAATTCATACGCCACAAAGTGGTCATGTATTTTTGACCTACCTAAATATGTTAAAGGGGTTATAATAAAACATTTAATGGATTTTTGGTGAGTTCAAGCAGAGTGTTATGTTATAGGGGTTGTAATAAAACATTTTCTACATTTATATAACATTGTTTAATGATACACATAATCGTACTTAGTTTGACAATAAAAACATAACGTTTTTAAATATAATACATTTATTATTTCGTTAAAAATACATTTAAAAATATATCTACCCAATATACACATAGGAAATCATTTAAATTAAAAAGATCGTACACTTCTATCACTGATTTTTTTCAATAAAACAAAACATCTAGAAAACAGAATACAAAAAATAAATATAATTATACATTATTTTTGGTGACCGACCGAAATTTCGGTTTCGGCCAAAAACGACGAAACTGCGTGTCGGGCACAGTGCTGCCAGATTGAACTGGGCGCTAATTGGGTGATTTTAAGAAATAATTTGCTTCTAGTTTTTTTATAAAAAGCTCACACCGCAATTTGGGTTATTTCTAAAAAAATAAATTGATCTTTTAGCTCTAGCAAAAGATCTTTTTGCAATTCCTAGAATAAATAATATCAAGAAAAATGTGAATATCTATAAAAATATTAAAATGGTGTTTTTAATGCATTTTGCATATTACCCGTTATAAGAAATTTATTTTAATTTTACCATTCTAACGTTGGGGGCCGTTCATAAAATACGTTCTCACACAAGGGGGGAGGGCTCTTGCTGAGTGTGACAAAGTGTGACAAGGGGGGACGGGGGGTGTATGGCAACGTGACGTTGATTATTTTTATTTTTAAATTTTCATCATGATAGAGAGTCATTTATTTCGTATTTAATATTTAGTACGTATACAATTTTATTACAATAAATTGTATATATATTTATTTTTGTTTATTTTTCGACATGAAAAAGATGGCACGGAAAATGCAGAATGAAAGTGGAGGGTAGTTTTGAAATAAATGAAGAAGAAGAAGAAGATGCTGCAATACCAATTATAGATATTTCGGCGCATTTACAGAATCCTTGGACTTCTGACTAATAAAAATATTATTTATTTATTCGTTATAAAAGATATTTATTTAAATTTTATTATAAAAACTATATAAATACTTAAGTTCTCAAAATTTGTGTACTATAAATTGAAATTTACCATATTCAGGGGGGGCTTAGTTTTTTTGACAAAATATTTCTAGGGGGGTCACAGGAAACGTGACACAGCGTGACAATGGGGGGGAGGGGGTCAGAAAAAGCTGATTTTAGCTTGACCTATTTTGAATTTTGTTGGCGCTTTAGGTCGATATTTCATTCGAAAGTTGGCGCCTTGGTTTTAAATTTAAATATTTAAATATCTGTAAGTATTTTCCCAATGAATTGTCTTATTTAATCTACAGAGCAAGGAAAAATACAAGATTTCAGGATATAATAAAAATGTAACTAAATAAACTAGATAAGTTTCGGTTTCGGTTTCGGCCGAAACTGGAAAAGAAGCCGAATATTCGGTTACCTACAGTTTCGGTTTCGGATAAAAATCGTGTTTCGGTCGGACACTAATTATTTTGTTGCAAACGTATACATTGTTTGTATACTTTAGTGACAATTTTTTATTATCTAAGAGGTACTCTAATACGACAATGTAAGAAAAAAGGGTATTTACAAGGACATACAAGGTTTGACTTTTTAACCTAAAAATGTCAAAATGTCAAGGTTATGCGATTTGTGTATCAACCAATGACATTTTCTCATTGGGTTCTAAAAGTATACAGGTTTGTATACAGTGTTTTTCGTTAGTGCGTGTAACAAACCAGAGCGTATTCTACTATAGTAGATAGGTATCTAAAAATTTTAAATAAAAATACTTAATTTTTTGGACATAAAAATGTAACTAACCTTATTTTAGTAACCATGTACGGGTTCTTCTAAATTAATTTTGTATTTTTAATAGCAGAATACCTACGCTTTAACATTTTTTTCACGCTCTTAGAAAACACTCTGTATGTAAAGGTTTAATGATTTTTTCTTACATTGCAACAATAAATGACAAAAAATGTTTTGTTTTAACATCTTACACTATATTACCATATATTAATCCATTCAACAGACGAGATTTCTTTGTACAATTATTTTTTTACATCGTATACGCACTAATAAGTATACAGGGTTATTAAAAAATCAAATGAAATTTAGTTTATATGATTAGAAATTGTCTGTTTTTTACAGGGTAATACAAAATTAAATATAGGACTTTTCACATAATTTTATAACATTTTCATGTTTTGTTTTGCTGCAGATTAAATTCCGACTAAGGGGACGTCCATAAATCTCTTGACGCTGAAGGGGAGGTTTATTAAATCGTTACGTGACAAAATACTCCGACTGAAATTGCCTATTTGTTGTTTTAATCAGATTACTACAAAAAAATAATCGAAAAACATATTTTTCGATAATTCTAATTATCGTCACATAACCGTTCGGGGGGATCTTCATATGGTCACACTCTGTCACGAGGGATTTTGACCATTTTTAGCGTGACGTGATTTATGGAAGCCTCCTTATTTTGAGTCACTCTGTATATTACCTTTCGATTTGGTTAAGTTAAGAAGTAAAATTAGTAGAAATAAATAAAAATAATGTTTCTTTGATAAAATATTTTACATAGGTATCTTTATAATAATAAATATTTTAATAATTTTTGGGATTAGATATACACTGACATACAAAAAAATTGTCGGTGAACTATATTTTTGTCTAACTTTTTTGTTTGTCAGTATTTTTAGTATACTGTTTTTTTGTATTATTTTGACTAAAATACCTTCTCAATTTATTGTTTTTGGGATTCTCGTATACTTTGTACAAGGTGGACCACCTAACAGTTTTTAGTATGTTTTTAGTTTCAGGTCTCTGTGGGTTAATTTTTGTTAAACATTTGCAGGTCTAATTAAGATATCGGCCGTATTATATTAAATATTAAAATAACTTTTATACTTTAATCATCAAGGTAGTCCATCCTGTATACTAAATACATAATGAAAAAGCTATATTTTGGTAACACAATTTAGCTAAAAAATTGAATAAATTTGAACATGTTAGTTAAAACGTAAAGTGCGTCCAGTCCAGATCGAGTTAAAATGGACATTTTTAATCAATAAAAAGTAAAAATAATTCATCAATCCCCGGGCTTTTGGTGAATATTTAAACTGAAGCAGAAAAGTGTTTAAACCTTTTAACAGTATTACCAAATTTACAATAGTGGAAAACACAACAAAATTAGAGCGTCATTTCGAATATCCGTCAATTATTTATGGATTTGTTTTATGTTAGACTGGTACAAATGCAATTTATAAAGGTTTTTTAATAAGTAGCTTTTACTTTTGGCTATATAAAAAAGTTAATAATATTTTCCTTACTAAAAATAATAGCAAAAACAACCCGAAAATAAAAAATAAAACCAAATATGTACTCCTCACTATATGTAGTAACATATTCAGTATACGGATGCGTTATTGTGCGAATCGTAGTTGATCTGCAGATACGACGGTATGGCGGCGTTGAGCTCAGAGGCGCGCCGCCTCAGCGCCGCTATGCTGTGCCCGCGCCACACGTCCTCCTCTTCGCCGCCACCACCACCCTGCTGATTGGGCGACGCACCCGCCGCCACTGGCGGGGTTGCCGCCGCGCTACCCCCGCACCCCAACTGCGGGGGCGGGCTGGCCGCGTTGCTGCCGCTGCCGCCGTTACCGCCGCCGCCGCCGCCTGACTGGCAGTACGTCATCATGCTATCACCTGAAACGGAAGAGTAATTGTTATTTGTGTCAGTATTGCCAACAGTAAAATGTTAAAATTCTCAAAAACCTAAACAAAAATTCACCAGAATACTCCATTTTGCCAAAAAAAATCTCCAATACTTTTAATGGGCTAAAACAAAGAGGTTTGTATGGACTCAAAATGCAAAAAATATAAAACAGTTTATTTATAACTTTTTATAAATGTTAACAAAAAAATAAATAAAAAAACAACATTGTAATATGAGGCTTTAATGCCTTTTTATATAATAAACATTTTCGCTTAACATGGAAATAACAAAAAAAATGTTTTTAAAGCTATACAGGATGTCCCAAAAGTAGGTGACCAAACTTTGCTAACGGCATGTAGTACACCCTGGCGAAAATAAAGCGTGCATGAAAAGTGTGCAATAAGTGTGTATTTGGAGTGCAAGTCTTTATAACAATGTGAATACACGCTACTTTGTGGTAATTTCTCACTTTTTGAAATAATTAAGTTTTTTCACTCTTTATGTACATTGACATCACGCTTTTTATTTGTCAAATGTCACGCTTATATTACATTATATTTTAGCACATTGTTTGCACAGTGTTAGTACATTGTTAAAAGACATTTTGCAAAGCTTCAGTCTATCTTACGCATGTCACATTTTTTTTGCTAGACCTACATTGTGGGTATTTTTTTTAATTTTTGAAAAAAATATTTATTTGATTAATATTATTATAAGGATATTTATATTTCAATTATGTGTAAATTTAAAAGACTTTATAGACCCACCAAAAAGAATCTGTTTTTGTAATAGGCACAAAGGTGGTGCAAACAATGTGAAAAATCAAGTTCCCTTTAGAACATTGTCCAGTGATTATTCACACTTTTAAATTTTTGGTTTTGCACATTGTTTCATGTTCCATTTCCCACCCTCCGCACATAATTTTTTTAAAAGATTGCACATTGTTGGCACATTGTACTCAAATAATTTTGCACACTTTTTGCACATTTCATTTTCGCCAGGGCAGATCAAAATAAGTTTATTTTTCTATACAAAGTTTGACGGGCACATTTTAGGATAAATTGTAGAAGGATTTAGATAGTACCTACTAATATAAACTGTAGAAGGCTTTAAATAGTACTAATATACCGCTGTATCTGATACATGATAGGTATGTAATACATATTACACTTTATGTTCTGTGATTACACTAATGGTGTCTTCTGTTCTCATGTTCTGTTCCGTGCATAGATGGTGGCATCAGTGGCGTAATAAGCACCCCCGCAGACCCCGCACCGCGGGGGGGCCCAGACGGTCAGGGGGCCCAAGGCGTTCTTTTTCGAAACTGAAAATAGTGAAAACATATCTTCGTAACACTATGGGAAAACAACGTCTTTGTAATTTATCAATTATTAGTATTGAACATGAGTTTATTAAGACATTAAACATTGACAATATTATAACTGAATTTGCAAAAAAAACTCAGATCAGACCGTTTTTTGTAGTAAATCTATAAATACTTAGACAATCGCATTTTGTGTTTATGTTTTTAATTTTTTTTAATTTAACTTCTTTAAGACTGTCTACAATATGTTTTTAATTTTTTTTCAAGACTGTTTAAACTTGGTAAGATATGTATACATTTTTTAAATTATTATTATTTTTAAATTGTTATTATTGCTGATATAATAGTATAATACTGCCGTTCTAAGAAAGGCAAAATTTGGTAATAAGAACAAAAAATGTTTAGGTAATTATTATTTAAATATTTTTTAAAAGAATCTTAATAAGATATTATATATTATAGAATTACGAAAATGATCCTGCATATAAAAAGGTATATAGAATAAGATATTTTTAAACCAAAATTAATTAAATATTTTGTGTTTTACTACCAAAAATTGCAGATACAGCAATTTTTCTTACCTAATCCTTTTTTATTTGCTTATCGTATGTCTGTCTATCGTATACACTCTATACCTACCTGTCAAAATTTTTAATTTAAAAAATATTATGTATATAATGTAGGTTTAAAAGTACTATGATAAACTATTTTAAAAATTACCTATTAAATAAACTTTTTAATTATTGTAAAGAGGGCCCATTAAAATCGTTTGCGGGGGGGCCCACTCAGAATTTGTTACGCCACTGGGTGGCATAGATTATTAACTTTAATGGATGGTGGTCTTATATTTTTAAATATGTTTATGGAGCTTTTTATTCAAAGGTATCAAAGTTCCGACCTGTCAAATTCTTGCAGGGTAACTAACTTACCTAATCAAAAAATCACTAGTACAACGCACCCAACCAAAACTTTCAATATTTTTTATTCTGTATTTAAATTATTAAAAATTCGCTAGAAACTCTCCGACGCATTTTTAAATTCTCCAGGTTTGAGACTTGTCGCTATCTAACTTGAAATCTCTTAACCAAGAACAAAAAATCACCAGAAAAGGTGAAAAATTCTCCAAGATGGCAACACTGATTTGTGTTTTTCTTATCAAACAAAAAAATATGTTTTTAAAACGAAAAATTCAAATTTTAAAATACCATTTTAAATTTTTTTTTACATTTTGATCTGGACCCAAGGTCACCCACACGTAATAGCTAATATCTTTTTACGTGGGTTTACTAAAGCGTTTTGTTTGAATGTTATAAAAGATAAAATGGCAGGACTTGTTTTTTCTTTATTCTTTAATGAAAATTGTCTAATTTTAACGTAACTCGTAATATTTAACAGGTTTTACCTTAATTTGATGATTTTTTTTCCACTTTTTGTAGAAAACCAGGGTTTGTATTTTAACAAAATATTTTATCGAAAGTTTTGTAAGGGTAATATGCAATTTTGTAAGCATTTTGTTCACTTCAAAGGATACAGAATATTTTGTTAATGTTTAAAAAATTATTTCGTTGAAAAAGTACACGTGATTTCAGGCAGTCAATCAAAACATTTTCCACTGACAATACGCATCAACAAGTTCAACTGACTTCAGCGTCTGCATATTAATTTAGTTGACCCATAAGTATTTATTTTTGTATTTTTTTATTTTTATCAACCGTGGGAAGGTTAATATAAACAAAGATTAGTGTGACGGTACTAAACCAGATAGTTATTTTTTTTATTGATTAAATTAACCCAGAAAACTTTAGTGAAACCAACCCGCTGTATGGTTCACTTTACTAAATATGTTGTTTGTAAAATAAGAGTTACTTCAACCTAAGACACTCTGTTAAAACGATTAAAACAATTAGCCGTGCATTTTCGGTTGCATAGTGTATACCGATCGCGGCAAAGGCGGTGCACCGCAGTGTGGATCACGTGATGTTCTTAAATCTCGCCTCTGTTGACTTACATGAAGAGTATATAAGCTCAGGTAGTCCTTTGCTTTGGTGTGACACTACAAGTTGTTCGATACTAAAGAGACCTTAAATAGGTGGAAACAGCTGTCAATACTTAGTTAGTGGAACGCACTAAAAACATTATCTCTAGCTAGTTGCAGGTTCCATTTTCTGGAATAATACCACTGGTAATATACTAGTAATGCGTCAAGGAACTTCCTGTTTCCTTTTTTTTTCCTTTTTTCTTTGTAGTATGATTTAATTTGACCACAAACACATATTATTTAACACTGAAAAGGGGTTCAATTTACACCAGGTAAAATTTATTTTAATACTGTGTGAAAGTTAAATTAACATTATTATAGTATTTGAATTTGCACTGGACCAACGAACCATATTTAACACCATTTTGGTTTGTATCGATATAGACCATGTATGGTTTTAATTTGGTGTTAAAATGGTCATGAAATTTTGAACAGTGTAGGAAAAGTTGGAACAAAGTAGTAGCGGACACAATAGAAATCAGAGGAATAACATGGGCAGCCGCAAAAACATTATCCAAGAACAGGAAGGAATGAAGGAAATTTGTTTATAGCTAGTAACACTAGCAAACCCTACACCATCAAGTGGTAAAAGGGAACAGATTATATATAATTTTATTGACTTTTTACGTACCTATTATAACGTCGTTTTAAGGTATTCCAACAATTTTATTAAATTTATACATCTCCATATTTTAGAAAATATCATTTTTGACAATTTTCAATTTTTGTTGTAGGTAAATGCAAAAATGAACCGAAAGATTAAACAAAAATCGAGTCTACATATATCAATATCCTAAATTGGCTATTCTTCTGCTGACCTCCGCTTTTCTTCGCAATTTTGGTTGCCCTGAATTTCAGGGCATGAACACGAAAAAAGTGTGATTGTTGCAGAAAAAACAAACTGTTTATTTCAGGTAAAAAAAATTGAATATAGAATTTTATTATAAAAATGACGAACATAATTTACATTAGTATAATAATCATTGATGTCTCTAAAGTTCGCAGTACTTAATTGATGGTTGTTTAATTGTTTATTTTAGTGGTTATTGGTTTTGTTTTAACAGTTACGATTTTCTTTGGGTAAGTTTTGAGTGGTCCAAGATTTTTTTTTTTTATTAAGTATATCACACCTTTTTATGGGATTTGAAACCTCTCTCCCATGTCACAAAATTATTTTATCACATGATGTCTCGTAAACGTGTGACGTATTTTATAAACGATTATATATATAACCAAAATGTTCAAAAATATTGTTGTCTTAAAATGTCTATTTTTGGCAAAAGTGGTATTTAATTAATTTTATAAATTATTTTTAATTAATTTGTTATTTAATTTTGGAAATGTGTTTCTTACTCCTGCAAAAAATGTTTAAGAATTATTAGTAACTACATATTTATACTACCTAGTTAACTTTTTTATAATATTAACCATTTGTTAAAAGTTTAGAACAATAAATTGATTTTTATGTCCATTCTAATTAAGCGATTATAACTTATTAACAATAAAGCTAAATTTATACGTTCATTTACGGTTATAGAGGATAGTAAAAGTTTTACAGCTAATTAACACACTCGCTACTGCCTCGTTTGTATAAATATTAACCAACGGTTTCTATTTTTTACATCTTC